AATAGAAATACATAAAATGAAACCAACTACTCTCTCCAACACTAACATTGTGCTGCTCCAATGCAGTTTCTAAAGCTCCAACGTCAGCTGGATCAATTACAGTGGTCTGCTCATCAAACACAAAATTTGTTACATATCTACAACAAATCAATAAAAATCATGATTGCACAAGCCCAGTACAAAGTTAAAAATCTACCAGAAATAACCCATTGCAAACATCAAATGTTCACCTTATCAATTAACAGACAAGACGATTCACATTATGATATCTGTTAAAAAATTCAGTAAAAAAACTAGCAAACTTTCAACGAGATGTCTATATCAGGTGCCTCTATTAATAATTAAATTTTAAAAAGCAAAGTTTTTATTGCCCTAAGGAAACACAGGGGCAACACCAAAACCAACACCAAAACACAGGGGCAAAGTTTTTATTGCCCTAAGGAATCACGCATTAACATTAAACTCTCCAAAACCAAACTCAGAGAAGTACAATTCCCCAAGAGAATTATTTTAATGATTTGAGTAAAATTATGAATGCAAATATATATATATATATATATATATATATAACAACAGGAATGAAAATGAGCATTATTTCAATCCAAACAATTTAAACAGATATAAGCTAAGTCAACATGACAACATAACAAGCAGTTCGCACCGGACACGACAAAATACAATTAAACCACCAAATGAGCAGAACATGTACCGTGATCCCCATCTTTGGAAGAAATGTCTCTATGAATATTCTAGTCTTCCTATAACAATCTGTAGTGGTCACAAGATGCCCACCGGCTGGAATCAGTGCCATAAATAGGACTATGCTAGCACACATCCCAGATGCCATTATCACAGTTGATTCGGCCCCCTCCAGTGCACTGGTTCATAATGACAACAAGCCTCTCATTAAATGACCCCAAAAACTTGACACATTACAAGATCATCATAAACTCAAAGCATACAAACCTTATCTTCTCCTCTAAAACCACTGTCGTTGGATTTCCATAGCGCCCGTACTCATAACTAACTTGGCGATTCTCCTGTAAAATTATTGAAAACTCAACCACGCCAATAATGGAAGTTTATCTGCTCATTATCTAATGAGGCGAATAAAAACTTGTTCACACTCCATACAATAGTACCTTGAAATCAATGAGATCAGCGGTTTTCTTAAAGAAGTAAGCAGAAGTGTTAACCACAGGAGTGGTAATTCCATCAGTCACAATACCTCTACCCAATCTTTCAGCTGCATTCCCCAAATGCAAAACCAATCAGCTTCGTAAACAACATAACCAATAATCAACAACAACAATAGCATCCAAGGAAATTAAACCAAATCTGATTTAAAACAATACAAATTAACCGCAAAAACTATAACTTATATCGTAAATCAAACGTCACATAAACTAATAAAAATAGCAATCTCAGAGAGCATAAATTAAACAATGAAATAAGTATGCATAACACGAACAAAAGGAAACAAAATATCTCTTTCTGAATCAAATCACATCCGATGTGAAGAAAAATCTAACAAAGTACACACAAAAAAATGGAAAAGGAACAATTAAAGAATCGTTATCCGAGGAAACCACATCAAATTTAATTTTTTAATTAAAATGAAAACGAATCTAGGAAAGAAAAAATATATAATAACAATTTATGACACAAAAAACGACAAATTTTCATTTCTCACGTACCGGCATGAATCGTTTTGCTTGCATCCGATTTCAAAAACGAAGAATAAGAACTATGCTTTAACTGTACAGCCCCGTTCTCGTCGGCCGCGGTGGCGACGGCGTCGTTGGCGGAAACGACGACGTCCTCCTCAGCGGTAACGTCGACGGGGAGAGGCACCGTGGCGGCGTCCGCGGCAGAGACCGCAGGCGGCGCCGGAGCCCCGGTGGCAGGATTGTTGGGGCTGTTGTTGGACCACGAAGCGGCGACGATTTGCGCGACGCCGATGTTGCTGCAGTTGCGACGCGCCTTGGTGCTGAGCTGGCGCTGGAAGTTGGGAGGGAAACGGAGGATGAGGGAGGGAACGCCGTGGAACGCAGCTCCGGATCCGACGCAGGAGCGGAAGTTACGGCGGCGGAGGTTGTCGAAGGAGGGCGGTGGCGAGAAGTCGGGATCGGAGCGGCACTCGAAGGTGAAACGCAAGTGAGAACTCGAAACGGCCATGTTGGTCGTCGTTTCAAGGGTTTGTTCGAGTTATATGTTTATTTTGTTGTCCTCCGCCTACTTTCCCTCTTTCTGTCCTCTATATCTATACCTACCAACACGAATCTCTCTACTTTTCGGTTCGTGAATGGATCCCTCGCCCTTTATATAATACTCCCACTTCAAACATAACACAGTATATACGCGTCACTCATTTGCCCTCTGCTTTTTTCCCCTTCCTGTTGATTCCAATCTTCTACAGTTCGTCAAGTTCTCAAATCAAGACTCTGCCAACTCTGCCGTTCGATTTCCATCAAACCACTCAAAACCAACGAGACACGACGTTTCGTTGACCGTTCATTTAAATCTGATGGTTCCTGTTTTCTTGATTTTACCAATTTTTCAAGGTTGTTGCTTTGTTGGCAGGATGTTAACGTTTTAGTTTTCAATACCAATACATAAATAAGATAGGAAAAAAATATTTTGAGAACACTATTCACATAAACAATACATAAATAAGATAGGAAAAAAATATTTTGAGAACACTATTCACATAAACAATTTTGTAAACAACTGTATTTTATATTATAATAATAATTTTAACTATTTTTTATTTTTATTTAACCTCTTTTATGATTATTATATTAATTAGGTTATTTTTTCTTTTGTTGTCAAAAGATGATCACCCAATAAGATAACACGCCATTATTATCAATCAGTATTGTCGTAATAAATTTGACCGTATTGAATTTAACAAGAGGGTCTGTCTTTTAATGCGTTTATATTTGTCTTTTCCTTCCATCATCAAAATTTTAACCTAGAGGAATAACTATTAATAAAATCAATAAATTTATCATATTTATTAGAATTTAATTTATGGTCAAAAAATATTTTAACCTAAACTAGGTCGTAATGGGATAAATGTTGTTTCCCTATAGTACGGTGTCAAAGCTCTTCTTCGAGTAAAAATATGTAACATCTAATAAGCTAGATTTTTACCCAGAGGTCATATTTTGCGCCGGTATAAGCGCTTGTTTTGATTTCTATATAGCAGAAATCTCACATTGAAGTGTGGAAAATATCAACTTGTTCAATGATGATTTAGAAAACAGCAGTTTTTAAAACAATATTTAGAAAGCAGTAATTTAATACATGAAAGTTGCGAAAATTGTTCATTATTAGTGTATAAATGTATTTAGCACTTGTTTTATGTGTTCTCCACTTTTATAAGATCGCTTGAAATTGAAAGGGAACAAGTAAAAAAAAAAAATTGTGATATTTTAACAATTAGAAACTATACAATCTTTTAAATAATTCATTTTTATTAATATAATAATCTATTTATCGAATAATTTAATAAAAATAAAAATAAGTTAAAATTATTATTATAATATTAAAAGATAATTATTTATAAAAATTATATAAATTTTAGTTGTGAAAATATCATTTTTCAAAAATAAATTATTCCTTTTCTTATATTTGAATTCGAGTTGAACCAATCCTATTTTGGTACCATGTTTTGTTGTTCTACACTGTCTACTTCTTACAACGAGGAATAGTTCTTAAAAGATGAATGTTTAATTCTCATTTATTTCATAAGTTGGCTCAGGAGAGTGCAATACAACTGCAAGAAATTTTGTTATTGTAAATTCTGAAAACTCGTTTCAATTAACATGTTGTAAAAGTGATTGTAAGTTTTGTAGGTACGTTAATTCCAATCAAAATAAGATTTTATTTTGAGTATTTTACTGCATCTTTAATGATAAGATTTATTACATAAACAAACTATAAATAAGATAAAAAAAATTATATTTATTTAAAAAATACTAACTACGTACTTAAGTTTTATCTATTTTTTAATTAAATATTAGTTTGCTGAACAATTTAACAAATTAATAAAAAATAGATATGAGTATTTCAAAATATAAAAACCATCTAACTGGAAAAAACTATGATCACACTAAATGTTATATATATATATATATATATATATATATATATATATATATATATATATATATATATATATATATATATATATAAGTTAAGACCTTAATAATCTGTATATAAACGATTTTTTAAAAGCACTAAGACACTATTTGTTTGGTGTACAAGAAACATATTATCCTTTTGATGTAGAATAAACATACTATATAAACATATTTATTTGAATCTAATATCTAATGTTAACTAAAATTTATTAAAATCTCAATAAATCTTATTATATCTCACCCACAGTTTTATAAATTTCAACATTTTTTTAATAACAATAAGTATACATATTAAATAATATGGCATACACCCTCCTTACTATTTTAAATAAAATTGTGAAATTATACCCTTATATTTTTTTACTTACTAATTTTACCGAGACACATTCCCTTAACACAACTATTTTCTCATAAAACACATACTATTCCAAATGAAGGAATATTGTAGATTTTCATTAGCAAATTAAAATAAAAAAATATGAGTCTTATTATAAACAAGAATAATGAAACATTAATAATAAGAGATATAACAGTCAATACAAAAGTATTTTTTAAAATATATATTTTTATTTTGAAATAGTTGATAAACATTCCAAAGACACGTCCTTGTGTATATACATATCAAAATTTTCCACAACATTTTTAGGATCTCGTTTTAAACTAGGCTCACGAATTAAAAAACTAGAATGAAACTAAAATCTTACAATAAAAAGCACCACCTTTAACCAAGTCACTAGCCTAGATTCATAGAAGTGTGACTCTGAATGAAAGTGTATTCACGGGGGATATGGTAAACAGTGAAGAAATTATGATGCCTACTTTTAACCTATCCGACAATGATAAGCATTGATGATGGATGACGAGGACCACCATGAGAATGTATGGAATATGGACACGCATGCACCACATCGCTGTGAACTCAAAGACAAAGTAAAAAAGAGGGTATGTGCATGTATGTGGCTGCGGCTAACTTTGAAGGGGCCAAGAATTTGGTTACATCCCACTCATCATACACCGTAAAGCAATAAGCATAAGGGGACCATGCGCAAAAAATCAATCATGACATGTTACCCTATCTATCTTTATTGTTTATTTATTTATCTCTCTTTCAAAAACAATATCAAATTTTAAATACAAAAATCAATTAAGGGAGTCAAATATTGTACAAGTTCTCTACCTCTAGTAATGATTTTAAAAATAATTTAATAAACTCGCTTTTCTTTCTGACTAAACAACTAAAATAAAAAATTGATATTTTTATTTTCTCTTCATCCAAATAATAAAAAAAATAACTTTTAAAATATAATTGTTTTTTTAACACAAAAAACAATCCCAATACCACATCCCAAAAAATTATTGTATTTTTATTAAAATAAAATAATTCAAGACATGTTTTGTTCGAGTTTAGTTTATTTTCAACAGTAAATACAAAAAAAATGTCGTGCTATTTTTTACTTTATCTTATCAATTTAAAGATTTGAAGGAAGAAAATGAAAATATTTTTAAAGTGTTTCATTTGCATATATTTAAAAATATATATGATATAATTGGTGTTTAGTCTAACATGTGAATGCATGTTTTGAATGTTAAGGTGTTGTATACTCGAAGTGAGTTTATAAAAATAATGTTTTAAGTTAATTATTTTCTAATTAGAGCACCGTTATTTAATACAGATTAAAAGGAATAAATTAATAAAAGATTGATGCAAATATGAATTTGTCTTCTGCTGAAGTTAAGAGTCTCAACTCAACAGGTGTGGAACAATTCGAAGCAATGGATTGGTGCATTGAAGTAATCGATTTTAGATTATTGGAATCCTATACTTTCACGGTTGACCTTTGTCAATTATGCATTTGGCTATCAAGGGGTTAGTGTCAGTAAATTAGACAGGCAAAGTTTATGTTTGTCACGTCCTTCATTTATTAATATATAATTTAATTATATTTTAAATCTTTTTTATAAAAATTAAGTAAAATAAAATAGGAGATAAATGTGTATAATCTGAATATATAAATATATGAAACGTATGAGTTTATCTTTCTTCCATATAAAAATAAGTATTAAAGTTAAGAATTTTTTTAAAATGATTGATGAATGATGCTTGTTTTTTATTTAACGTTTCAGTTGACAATTTTTAAGTTATATCATATATTATAAATAAAAAGTGAGAACAAATATAATAAAAAATAATATAATATCAAGACAATATATAAATTTTTTTTTTAAATTAAAAAAAATATTTATTTTATATTAAACAAATTTAAATTAAATTTACAGTGACTAATATTTATTTATTTTAATATTTTATAAAAAATATTATTTTTTATAAGTAATTAAATAATAAAAATATAAATTAATAAATAAAGATGAAAAAAAATGTAATAAAATTATAGATAACTAAAAATAAATATAAATTAAATTAAATATATACTAAAATAACTAAATAAATATAAAATAATATTATACATAACAAAAATAAATAAATATAAAATAAAATAATATATATTTAAAAAAAAAGTAAATATAAATAAAAAAATAAATTTAATCAATTAGAGATTTCTTTTTAACAATCATATGTATCTCATTCACTTACTATTATAATAATAATAATATCACATTATAAATATCATAAATATTTGTATTTTCTTCTTTGTTTTTTCATTATCCTCTCTCCTTTTTTTTTTTTCTTCCTCCTCTCTCTTTCTTTCTTCCCATATCTACCCCGAAACTTATTTTACACGCGAAACTTATTTTATACGCAAAGCTTTATTTTCTTAATTTATTTTAATTACGTTATTAAATGTAAGAAAAAATAAGCCTATTATCCCATTTTTTATAATTAATACTTAATTTATTATCATTATTTTTATAATTATGAATTATTATCATTTTACTTTTAAACTTTTTTTAATAATAATTATTATTTTTTATTATACAAATCTTTTAAAATTATTTAAAATATTATAATTTAATACATTATATTTAAAAAATTATATATAATATATTTTTGAGGTGTTATCTGTAAAAAATATTTTTTTATAATATAAAGTTAATTTATATAGAAATTAAATAATAAATTTTTTTAAAATTACACAAATTATTTTATAAATTAATTTATGTTGAAGTTTATTTAACTTGGAAACAATTTTACTTTATTTCTTCATCTTATATTTTTCTTAAAAAATCTTGTAGAGAGAGACATACCCCAAGTTAAATACTGGATTTTATTTTTTTTATAAAGAAGGATTATGCGAGTGTTAGAAGAATCAAAATTCGATTTATCTTAAGTGTTTTATTTCTTTATTTCCTTTTTATTTTTATTTTTTTTTCGATATGTTAAGGCATTTCAAACTCCCTCCACTTTTGTTATATATATATATATATATATATATATATATATATATATATATATATATATATATATATATATATATATATATATATATATATAACTTAGCTCATATTTGAAAAGAAATAATTTATTCTAGTGCTCTAATATTCTTCCTAAAATACCATCCTGGTAAAAAAGATGCATATGATAACAGCTCAATTTAAGCCCAGACACTAATTACAGTTAGTACATATATATTTAAAAATATTATCAAATAAAGAAAAAGTAGTTAGAAATATATTCATATTTGAGAAAATTTTATTTTTTTCCTTATAAATGAGCACAGAAAAAGTCTGTGTTTTCTGATTTTTTTTTTGTTTAATGTTTATAATTATTTGTTTAAAAAATTGTTGGATGAAATATTTGAAGAAAACGAAAGAAGAGATGTGATTTTTTTTACCTGTTCATACACCTTATTTTCCAAGACTAAATTTCAAATTTGAATGCATAATTACTAAAAATTGTATAATTATATTTAAAGACATATTTTTGGATTACTATTTAAAAATATTTTTCTTTAAACAAAATAGCAAGGTAATTGAATAGGCTATCAGTCTTTATAAACTTGTTTAAGTATGGCATTTATTTTAAGAGTTTAATGGACACGTATCTATAGTAGGTTATCAATCAATTATAATTTTTATAAAAGTCAAAACTTATCATTTATAATAATTTGTGATTAATTACATCGTAAACATCTTTATATTAAAATTGTATATATTATTTAATCTTGTTTTTAATATTTTTAAAGCATTTTTTATTTTTTTAAATTATTTTATTTTAATAATAAATACAATATCAAGAAAATAATTTTAATACAAACAAAAATATCACGTTAATGTTTTTAACATGTCTTTCAAATAAAAACTGAATAATGATGTGCAAATAAGAAAATAACTTATAGTGCAATTTGTCCTACGCGCAATCTGAGCCGCTGATTTCATCACTAAAATTAGAAAAGCACATCTCTTCTGTATACGATAAAGTGAACTTCCCATCAAAAGCTAATCAACCGTTGATCTTTCTGGCGGACTCAAATACATTTTGGGTGGGTTTCCATGCCATGCCCTAATTTAATTTTCTCATTCCTATAAATTGAAACCCTTTTCCGCAAACCCACATTGTTCTGTGCGACGAAAACTTGTTTATCTGATCCATAGCCGCGTTTCACGTCTGGGGAACGAAAAATTACGCGGTTTCAGCATTTATTTTTTATACTATTTTCTCATTACTGGCATTCAATGTTCATATCATCATTGTGGAGGATACTGTCTGCACATTTATATTATCAAATGCAAAATCTGGTTTGCATTTTATTACCGGGTTTTTTATTCATCCATCCATCCCATTGTAAGCATACGTTGTATTGGGACAGGATATTTTCCTTGTTTTCCTTATCATTAATTTTGTATATATATTTTATATGATTCGAATTTAGCGAATTTGTGATTCTCTGTGATTCTGTTTCCTCTGATCTGCATTGCACTAGTACTAAGGCTCTGTGATGGCTTAATATCACCAGTTGCCTAATTAATGTGCAACAATGAATTTGGGCACCGCTTTGCAGATCTGACATTACGTGTTTGGGCTGCCTGTATCACCCATACATAAGCGCCATGTTTGGATTTTGATTCTCAAAGTGATTGTCGGTTGATTGAAGTTTTCCCAGTTGTGTTCTGTGCTGCTTTTCCTTTTTTATTAGTTCATGAATGTGGTTTGTTCAGTGCCTATTGGTCAAAGAAAGTGGGAAACCAACTTTCTCATTTGCACCGAAAGTAAAAAAGAATAGGGTGTTTTATTCAAGAATGAGCTATCCAAGATACATATTTTATGTAATGTACAATACCAATTTTTGTTATAAATTGGTTTTCTTCCTGCAAGCATAAACATTCCATTCCACACAAAAATATTACTTCTTTTAGAGAAGAAAGAGTGGCACCAGCGAGAGGCAGAAAAACTAGAGAGTTTTAGTTTAGCTTATGGATGTAATTGGGTTGTGAGTTGTGAGTGTTTTTTGAGAGTGTTTTGTAAATACTTCTGTATTTTTCTTTTCTCCTACTAAGAGATTTGTAGTAGTCCGAAGACGTAGGCATTATTGGCCGAAGAAGATTCATCATATTTTTCCCAACAACTGGTATCAGAGCTGGTTGTTAGTTCTATAATTTTTGTGGTGTTATTATTCATATAAATAGTAAGTTACTATTATGTGAATAGTAAAAACGTGAATAGTGCAAATTTTGTCGGCGTTACAAATTTGCCCACAGTCGTGTTCTGAAACACGGTAGCTCACAGGAATTGTCAGAAATGATCTAGCAGATAAGTCAAATCAGAGTTGGAGTGATGGCTGCAGACGAAGGAAAAATGAAAATTGAAAGGTTCGACGGTACATACTTTGGCTTCTGGAAGATGCAGATAGAGAATTATCTGTATCAGAAGAAGATGCATCAACCACTCACAGGGGAAAAGCCAAAAACCATGAAAGAGGAAGAATGGAGTCTCCTTAATAGACAGACTCTTGGAGTTATTCGTCTAATATTATCCCGTAATATTGCTTTTAACATTGTGAAAGAAAAGACGACCTCAGATCTCATGAAGGCTCTTTCCAACATGTACGAGAAACCATCAGCCTCAAACAAAGTTCACTTGATGAGACGATTGTTCAACCTGCGGATGTCCGAAGGTGCTTCGGTGGCAAATCATCTCAATGAACTCAACACTGTAACAACTCAGTTGAGTTCTATTGACATCAAATTCGATGATGAAGTACAGACTTTAATACTTTTGTCTTCCCTACCAGAGAGTTGGAATGCTACGGTCACAACTATGAGTAGCTCATCGAGAAACAATAAGTTAAGATTTAATGATGTTCAAAATTTGGTTCTCAGCGAAGAGATCTGGCGGAGAGAGTTGGGTGAAGCATCAACCTCTTCATTATTGCATACAGAGTCAAGAGGAAGAAGTTCAACCAAAGAAATTAGACATGGAAAATCAAAGGACAGGCGGTCCAAGTCCAGAAATCATCGTAGTTCCCACAACTCAAAGTCGATCGAATGTTGGAATTGTGGGAAGACCGGACACTTCAGAAACTAGTGTAAGAGTGCACGGAAGAATCAAGGAGCAAAGGACGAAGCAAACGTTGCCTCCACCTCAGGAAAAGATGAGGCGTTGATATGCTCTCTTGAAGGCAGGGAGGAGTCTTGGGTGTTAGACTCTGGAGCATCTTTTCATGCTACCTCACAGAAGGAACTGTTGGAGAATTATGTTATCGGAAACCTTGGTAAGTGTTGAATATAAAGAAAATATAGTTTGGAATTAATTTCCCTTGTGTATAAATCACACATAGGGTAGTCTATTTATAGTAGAGAAATACAACTAAAAGAGTAACTGAAAGTAACAGAATAAACAGAAGATATTGTTTGATATTGTGGTTACCAATATCTAACAATATCTTAACAATATCAAATAATATATAAACAATATCTAACACTCCCCCTCAAGCTGGAGCATACAAATCGTATGTGCCAAGCTTGTTACAAATATAATCAATTCTAGGACCCCGTAAAGATTTAGTAAAAATATCTGCTAACTGATCACTTGAGTTAACAAACTCGGTCTTGATATCTCCAGACATAATCTTTTCTCGAATAAAATGACAGATCAATCTCAATGTGTTTGGTCCTCTCATGAAATACGGGATTAGAACTAATATGAAGAAGCGACTGATTGTCACACACAAGTGTCATTTGAGTGACATCTCCAAATTGTAACTCTCTAAGCAATTGCTTGAGCCAAACACGTTCACGGGAAGCTGAGGCTATAGCTCTATATTCGCTACTGCACTTGGATCTTGCCACAACACTTTGTTTCTTACTTTTCCATGAAATCAAGTTACCACCAATGGAGACACAATATCCGGATGTAGATCTTCTATCCGAAGGAGATCCTGCCTAATCGGCATCTCGAGTAGCAAACAACTCTTGTATGGTTATTAGAAGCATATAACAATCCTTTTCCAGGAGATCCTTTAATATACTTCAAGATACGAATGATCGCATTCCAATGATCTTCACATGGTGAATTAAGAAATTGACTTACCACATCGACTGCAAAGGAAATGTCGGGACGAGTAAGCTGTAAGATAATTCAATTTTCCAACCAATCTTCTATCTTGCTCAGGATCAGATATAGACTCCCCCGATTTGGTAGAAGTTTAGTATTGGGATCCATGGGTGTATCAACGGACTTTGAACTCATCAACCCGAGTTTCTTCCAAAATATCTATGGCATACTTCCTCCGAGATATAACAATACCATCATTGGACTGTGCTACCTCAATACCCAAGAAATATCTAAGTTTGCCAAGATCTTTGGTCTGAAAATGGTGACAAAGATGTTGTTTCAAGCGAGAGATGTCATGGTTGTCACTACCTGTAAGAACAATATCATCAACATATACTATCAAGTAAACACATCCAGCACTTCGAGTGTCGATAAAAGACGGAATGATCTGATTCACACCGAGTCATACCAAATTGTTGAACAACCTTGCTAAACTTTCCAAACCAAGCCCTAGGAGGCTGTTTTAGGCCATATAGGGATTTGCGAAGACGACATACCATCCCGAGAAGACTCCCCTGAGCAACAAACCCAGGAGGTTGCTCCATATATATTTCTTCTTGCAAATCACCATTGAGGAAAGCATTTTTAACATCCGAGTTGATAAAGAGGTCATTGTTGAAGAGCGACCATGGCGATAAATAAACGAACGAAGCCATCTTTGCCACGGGGAAAAGGTATCTCCATAATCCAACCCAAAAATTTGAGTATAACCTTTGGCCACAAGACGAGCTTTGAGGCGATCAATAGTACCATCGGGTCCAACTTTGATAGCAAACACCCACCTGCAACCAACAACAGATTTCCCAGGACGGTAACGGGACCAATTCCCAAGTTCCACTATTATGAAGAGCACTTAGTTCATCTAACATGGCCTGACGCCAACCGGGATGGGCTAAAGCTTCACGGACAGTTTTTGGAATGGTCACGGAAGAAATAGAGGAAAGACATGTATAAAAAGGTAATGACAATCGATGATAACTCAAAGCAATATAATGGGGAGAGGGATTACGTGTAGAACGAATACCTTTTCGGAGGGCAATGGGAAGGTCGGACTCATGTGTCGGATCCGGAGGAGACGAGTAGTTGGCACTTGAGTAGAGTCACATGGTGGTGGTTGTGATTGGTTTCGAGAACTATAAATCGAAGAGGCGGTGGAGAAGAAGCTAGCTGCGGAGCGAGAAACTAATGGTGAAGAAGACACGATTAGAGGGTCACAAACAACGGGAACATTAAATGTATTAGGAGTGTTGACAAGATTGGATGGAGACGAGATGTGAAGTTTGACTTTTAAAATAAAGAGACAACTCATCAAAGGTGACATCTTTTGACACAAAATAACGGTTAAGAGAAGGAGAAAAACATTTGTATCCTTTTTGTGATCTCGTAAACCCTAAGAAAACACATTTATGTGATCTAGGAGAAAGCTTGTCCGGACAGAATTGAAATTATGAACAAAACATGTAGACTCGAAAACTTTCGAGAGGTAAAGGATGAAGTGGTTCATGAGGGAATAAAATGGAATGAGGTATTTTATTATCTAAAACCGAAGAAGGCATGCGATTAATGAGATAACATGCGAGTAAGAAGAGCATCACCCCAAAAATGTTGAGGAACATCTCCATGAATTAAAAGTGTGCGAGTTGTTTCAATAAGATGTCTATTTTTACGTTCAGCTACACCATTTTGTTGAGGTGTATAAGCACAAGAAGTTTGATGCAAAATACCGTGAGAAGCCATGAATTGTTTAAAAGAATGAGAAAGATATTCACGGCCATTATCACTACGCAAAACTCTAATAGAAACACCGAACCGAGTTTGAATTTCATTAAAAAAAGTTTGAAAGATATGAAATAATTCGGAACGATTTTTCATCAAAAATAACCAAGTGCATCTGGAATAATCATCAATGAAAGTAACAAAGTATTGAAAACCTAAAGTAGACTTAACGCGGCTAGGTCCCCAAATGTCGAGTGAACCACGCGAAAGGGGACGAAGCACCACGTGTGAAACTACGAGGAAAGGAAGTACGACTATGCTTGCCTAATTGACATGACTCACACGCCAAACTAGATAAGTTAGACAAGGCGGGGACAAGTTTACGTAACTTGGCAAGGCTTGGATGACCTAACTGAGCATGAAGAAGAGAGGAGACTCCATAAGCTGTACTAACATGTGTAGAGGGACGGAGATAATAAAGACCATGAGACTCACATCCTGTGCCAATCACACGTTTCG